ATGAAACATTCAGACAGGCCTTCAGGGCATGGTGGTCCGACCCCTGCCACAAAGATCAGATAGAGCGTGTGTCCAGTGTGTGGGAGTCGTTACATATTGGAAGAGTCCCAGTATTACCATGGATGACACTAGGTCCATCGCCTGACTGGAGGCCAAATCGTCAGCATGGACATTGAAATCACCCATGACAATCAGTCTAGGGTGTTCCAATGCCCAGCCCGACACAGCCTCCATCAGGGATGGCAGGTTATTGGCTGGTGCGTTGGGTGGACAGTACACCAGCCAAATAGCCAAACTCTCCCCGGCTTCCCACAGCAGACCAGTACACTCAGTCCCCGTGATCTTCGGTGGTGGGAGCATCCTGAAGGAGTAAGCCTCCTGAATGAATAGAGCCACTCTTCCCCCCTGCCCCCTAGTCCGCGATTGGTGAAGGACCGAGAACCCAGGAGGAGCCAGCTGGGGGAGAGCTACTGTCTCCCCATCTTGCACCCAGGTCTACATTCTGCTCAAGCAGAAATTCCTGAAGGACCATAGTCTTATTGTTTATAGACCTGGCGTTGTACAACACCAATGTCGGAGGGGGGTTATTCAACCTAGCCCCACTACCTGCAACCTTCGGGACGGGACGCAGGCTGAAAGGGGCTGAGCTACTCTACTTCTCTGCCTCCTTCCCTTACATTTATGCCTGGTCCCACTCCCCGGGAGCACTGGGATCCCAAGTCCAGTCATCATCCCTTAGTGATGGTCTTTGCGGGTGCCATAGACCAACCAGCAAGACTGATTAAGATGTGGATGACCAGTATATATAGCTCCTGGCAGCTAATTAACAGATTCCACATAAGTTGCTGTGCCCTAGGCTAGCTCCATTTTTTTCCTCTGAGACCCTCTAAATCGCTCTCTTTTTACCTATAATCCACCAATTTGATCTAATAATCCAGTTTGATTGACTATAATATCCAATCACTGACCATTAAATTTAATAATGGTCAGTGTTAAATCTATCTAATTAATTTGCAAGCCCTACTTTAATCTAATCATAGACAGCAAATCACAGAATCATAGCGTTGGAAGGGACCTCCAGGGTCATCTAGTCCAACCCCCTGCGCAATGCAGGAAATCAGTTCGGTAATCAGCAATCAACAAATTCTTTCTATTATCAACTTAGCAGGATGATTAATGACCTGACAACTGCTTCTCAATCAGAGGAAAATAATTTTTTTAAAAGAACCAGTTTAACTTAAGTTATTTTAATTCATTAGTTTAAGATTAATGTATTTAAATTAATTCCCCAGTTGATTAAGATTACACCTATCTTACTAAACACCCCATCTAAGTTATTTAATTTACAACAGTCCTCCTAGGTTAGCAGCAATAACATACTTTGGCAGCCTATAGATGGAGTCTCACTATGGAATAGCCAAATAGCTGTAGTCCAATAATTTTCTTTAGCCCAGTTTCTCATGAAGCGAGGGGAACGTCCGCACCTTCGTGCCTTCTGAGCCCTCTTATTTCCTCCCCGCTGTCTTGCTGGTAAGGGTTCTTTTCTTAGTCCTTGTTTTTTATAGGCCCCACTCCTCGATCTCCTGGTTCCCACTCGGCAGGTCTTCCACATTCGCAGTCGAACAAGGGAGTCAGTGGAGAGGCCGCGGTTGCTCGGCGATGGTACCAGCAGCTGCATGTAAGATGTCATTAGGCGTGTGGTGTGTCTAGGCTGCACTGGGTGGACCCTGGAGGAGGTAGAAACCCCCACTGGGCTCCCCAACCACCTCTCCAAGGCTGGAAATGGATACCCAGGAAGCTTGCCGGCAAATCCATTATTAGTTCACTAAGAATTCCAATTCTTTACATGTTTCTTCAGATGAACTGTGATAGATCCGATGCATCTTGTTGACATATTCTTCCTGACATATTGCAGAAAATCTCTCCAACATCTCCCTGAGCTTCTTGCTCTTTGCTTTCCTCCCAGCCTTTGATTTACTCTCACACTCCACTATGCCAGAGCTTTCAGGACTCAGCTGTCCTTCTGGGACTTCCGTAGAGATTCTTTGGTCTTTGCTTTGTATAATAGGAGGCTCCTGTGAGGGTTTACTAGTCTTTACTTGAGATGTTCTGCTGCCAACCCTTTGATGCATTAACTTTATAGGCAGTAAAGTTGGAGTTAGCACCTTTGATGGGGTGGAAATGAATATCGACTTACCAAGGTCATAAGAGAGCTGGGAACTGTTGTCAATGTTGGTCACAGGGAAGATCAAATCAGGCTATAGGCTCAAGTCTTTGGCTTATAGTTGGACGGTCGTCTCACAGGGAGAAATAAATTAAGAGGCTCAACTGAAGTATGAAGGAGCTGGAGTGAGTTCTTCAGTTTCTCCAATGTAGAAGAAATGTTTGTTTGTTCCCCCAAAGGAGATGTTTTTGGAGAGTTTGCAGGATGCAGCTGTTCTATTTTATCTGGCACCTTGATCTTGCACATGCTGATAATGCAATCATTTGTCCGCATTCTGGAGTAAGCTTGGGTCATTGCCAGTTGTGTTAAGAAGAGCTCTAGATTCAAGGCCATAAGTGGGAGCTTTCCTACTTGTAGTCCCTGGAATTAACGTCCGAACAGCTTCATCTATGAAGGCTCTGGTTGTAAAGATTTTAAAGGCGGATAAAAAAGCACTGAGGGAATTATTGGCTGGCTGAAAGTTAGGAGAACTCTCCTCCCAGAAGGTGTGTTTGGGAGTCTTTCAACTCTCTCAAGGTCAATATGACAAATTTCTATATGCAGAAGTTGGCTCAGGGAGTAGAGAATTGATCTTTTATTTATCCAACGCCCCCGGTTCACAAAATTATGTTTAATAAATAATGCAATTTGATGGTTTTGCAATCTGTGACCCAGCTTTCTGGCTTCTTCACTGTTTGTTCCCCTGTCAGTGGGAAGCTGCATGTCCTGTGTTCTTGAGCCAGGAGGTTTGTTATTTATTTTTGGTACAATTAAAGCTTCTCTCCCTTGTGTGGTGGTGGTGGGGGAAGGGGTTCAAGTTCTCTGGAATTGAGGCATTGAAGTTTTGCCTAAGGTGGTCAAGTTTATTAGCAGTGCTATTTAATTGCTTAAAATTAGCCGCAACAGTTTCGTCAGTAAGAAGGCAGTGGTCTCCGATGAACTTAGGCAGAAAATTTCTTAGTGGGTCTTGCTCATGCCACCCACTCTCTAAGGAATTGTCTTTCATCTCTGAGGAAGCTGAACAAGGTGGTTGTGAGTCTGCTAATCTAGTCTCCCTTATAAGTTCATCAGCTTTAAAGAGGTGACAATTTATGGATAGTTGGCTCACTGTCCGAGTCCAGAGCTTTGTATTTGTTAGGAGAGAAAAAAATTAGAAAGATCACTTACTAATTCTTTTGTTGGTAGGTTGTTATCTGTACGCAGCTGCTTGTCTGGTTTTAATGGAGAACAAATGTCTGAATTCCTCCTCATTTCTTCTCATTCTTTTTCTTCATCATGTTCAAGTCTGTGGGCTGTTTCACTGAGGCATCCAAATCCTTTTATTATCATCTCTGATGATTTACTGTAGTCTAGTTTTATTATCATCTCTGATGATTTACTGTAATTTAGGCTGTCCTCTGACTTTTATAGATTTTTCATAGGATTTTTTTTTTTTTTTGCAAAAGAACCACCGTGTATATTGGATGTTTTCATGCTAATTAAGCGGGAATGGAAGCTCCTCAGGGCTATTAAATCACTCCACTTATATAACAACCTTATCTAAGACATGTTCCTGTCATTTTAGGAAACTAGATAGATCAGTTGTGTTACTTTTTTTCTTTGTAAATGGCTTTGAGAATACTTGTGCATATCTACTGTATACTCTGAGAATACTTGTGCATAACCACTATAAACAAAATTTGCTTGCATTGCTTGAGATTGTCCTGCATAGCCTAAAGGAAAATATGGATTCCTTTATGCCCCATCCATGTCTCTGTAGATGATGACTTTAACTGGCCAGCTGCTTGCATTGAACTAGAGGAACATCTCCAGCAATGGGCAGAGGATGGCAAGAATACAGAGTACTTTTCGCTAGCTGATGGGCACTTTGCTTCAGTTGACTCTGTCCTCCTCCTTCAGGTAAAAGCTGCTAAATTTCTGTGCTGCTGTAGTAGTGCAATATTACTTTTTGACATATGTCCTTCCATGAGTATGTGGCCAGTCAAGAGCCTGAATGCTGCTGCCTTTGGGTTTGTGAAAATATCTCTGTGGTAATTTGCATGGAAGGGGCCTTTTTTCCAGAATTAAACCAGTCAGACTGACAGTAGAGATTCTTGTTCTAACCCACTGTGTTTCCTTCCTTCCTTCCTTCCTTCCTTCCTTCCTTCCTTCCTTCCTTCCTTCCTTCCTTCCTTCCTTCTTTTTGTATTTTTTTTATGTGCCTGGAAGTCATGGTTGACTTCCGGCGACCCCTAGTCGGGCTTGGACGTTTCCGAGAGGTGGCTTTTGCCTGCTATTGCCTGCCTCTGTGTCCTGGCCCTGGTATTCCTTGGAGGTCTTCCATCCAAGTACTTCCCAGGGTCAGCCCTGCTTAGCTTCTGGGATCTGACGAGATCGGACTTGCCATAGGACCATTCAATTTCTTTTGGAATAGAGGGCTGATGCTCTCACCTTTAAGATGTGTTGTTCTACATGGTGAGCAATGTTCCCTCTAAGCTGTGGGATCTTGTGAACAAAAATTCTACTTTGTGAGCTACCGGCATTAAAGCTGTGAGCAAGCGGTTTGGCTACTGCATCAATTACTTTGCGCTGGAGCCATCCTTCCTGAGCTAAGACAAAAATTTGTGAGCTGGAAGCTAAAAAACTGTGAGCTAGCTCACACTAACTCAGCTTAGAGGGAACACTGATGGTGAGCAGGGTGCAGTGACTGCCTTTAAAAAACTGCCAGACTTTGAGCTTGCTGCAGTCAGTTTGAAAAGTAAGGGAAGGACGTGGAGAAACAGAATGGCTTAGCACCCTTCCAGCCTACGCCCCATCCCAAGGGTGGCCGGCAGTGGGGCCAGGAGTGAAAACCCCGCTCCGTCATTGGTGCTGTCCAACGTCAGGTCCATTAACAACAAGACCACAATCCTTTGGGATTTTGTGATGGAACAACAGGCAGACCTGGCGTGCGTGACCGAGAGCTGGGTGCGGCATGGGGAGACGGTAGCTCTTACCCAGCTTGCCCCACCGGGTTTCTCGGTCCTCCACCAATCGTGGGGGGTGAGGGGGGGGGGGGGGGAGTGGCGATTTTCATTTGGGAGGCTTACTCCTTCCGGGCGCCTCCGTCCGTGGAGATCGCGGGCGTGGAATGTGTCAGCTTGATGCTGGAGGCTGAGGAGAGTTTGGCGATTTGGCTAGTGTATCGACCGCCTACCGCACCGGCCAATAGCTTGCCGTCCATGCTGGAGGCCATATCAGGCTGGGCGTTGGAGCACCCAAGGCTTATTGTGTTGGGGGATTTCAGCGTCCATGCCGAGGACGCGACCTTCAGCTGGGCTACGGACCTAGTGTCGTCCATGGCGGCGCTGGGACTCTCTCAACTTGTATCGCCTCCCACGCATCGGGCCGGTCACATGCTTGATATGATCTTCGTGGTGGGGGTGATGGTGGACCGGATCACTGCGGATGCAGTGCCATGGTCGGACCACCAGGGACTGAAGGCCCACCTGAATGTCCCACCCCAACCCTGTGTAGGCGGCGAGTGGATTTTTGCTTGCCCATGGAGCCAAATGGACCCTGTGTGGTTCCAGATGGCCCTGTGGGATCCGAGGCCCCCTGGCGGCTCGTTGGATGAGCTGGTGGAGGACTGGCATGGTCGGCTCTCCACAGCCATTGACGAGATCGCTCCCAGGTGCCCTCTTCGCACTCGGCGAGCACCCTGGTATACCCAGGAGTTGCGGCATCTGAAGCAAGAACTGAGATGGCTAGAGAGACGGTGGTGTCGTGCTCGTGACGAGGCGTCAAGAGCATCTTATAGGACGCTTATGAGATCCTATGAGATGGCAGTCAAGGCCGCAAAGAGGGAGTTCTATGCAGCCGAGATTGCATCTGCGAGCTCATGCCCAGCCCAATTGTTTAGAACGATCCGGTCTTTGACAGCTCTGCCACAGGGCAGGCAAAACGTTAGGGAATTGGACATTGGCTGTGAGGCATTTGCAAGCTATTTTGTAGATAAAGTCATGGTGCTCCGCCATGACCTCCCCACCACAATTGAAACAGTGAGCGAACTCGAGGCCCCTTGCACGTCTTCGGCTTCGGGTTTAGAGCGTTTCGGCCTACTCAGCCTGGACAAAGTTGACAGATTGCTCGTATCTGTACGTCCAACCATGTGCAACCTTGATCCGTGCTCATCCTGGCTTATTAAGGCAGGCCACGATGGGCTTCGAGTTGCTTTGCGGGAGATTATCAACGTCCCTTTCAGAGGGGTGGTTCCCCGGAGCACTCAAGGAAGTGATGGTCCGCCCTCTCTTGAAAAAACCATCTCTGGACCTGGCTGAATTGGCCAACTATCGGCCGGTGTCCAATTTGCCCTATTTGGGCAAACTTATCGAGAGGGCGGTGGCGATACAGCTACAGGGCTTTCTGGAGGATGCTTCAGTCCTAGATCCTTTCCATTCCAGCTTTCGCCCAGGTCACGGGGCGGAGGCGGCGTTGGTTGCCCTGACTGACAACTTCCGAATGCATCTGGATTGAGATGGTGTGGCAGCACTGTTGTTGTTAGATCTGTTGGCCACATTTGATATGGCGAACCACCAGTTGCTGACCCACCACCTCGCTGACAGGATTCAGGGGCTTGCCCTACAGTGGTTTGCCTCTTTTCTTCAAGGCCGGGGACAAAGGGGGGTGATAGGGGATCAGCGGTCCCAGAGGCGCCCTCTTGATTGTGGGGTGCCTCAGGGGGCGGTGCTGTCCCCGATGTTGTTTAACATCTACATGCGCCCCCTTGCCCAGATTGCCTGGAGTTATGGGCTTGGGTGTCATCAATATGAGGATGACACCCAGCTCTATCTGATGCTGGGCGGCTGGTCAAACTCTGACCCAGATGACCTTCATCGGGCATTGCAAGCTGTGGCTGGTTTGCTCAGACTGAGTCGGCTGAAACTAAACCCGGCGAAGACGGAGGTCCTGGGCTTGGGTTGGTTCGGGGTTGGGGCTCCCTCTCCGTCCTGACCGTTGATGGGGCACCTCTGGTGCCAGTCTTGGGGGTTAGGAGTTTGGGTGTGCTCCTGGACTCCTCTTTAACGATGGAGGCCTAGGTAGCAGCCACTGCCAAGTCGGCCTTCTACCATCTTCGGCTGGCACAGCAGTTGGTCCCCTTCCTTGACCGCGAAGACCTGGCCACAGTGATCCATACGACGGTCACCTCGAGGTTGGACTACTGTAACACTCTCTACATGGGGCTGTCTTTGTCGCTAATCTGGAAGCTGCAGCTAGTGCAGAATGCGGCAGCCAGGCTGTTGATGGGTCTCTCTAGGGGGGACCATATCCGGCCTGTGCTGAAAGCACTGCACTGGCTGCCAATAGCGTACGGATCTGCTTCAAAGTGCTGGGTCTTACCTTTAAAGCCCTACATGGCCAGGGTCTGGCAAATCTAAGGGACCACCTTTCCCCATATGTTCCCCCAAGGGCACTACGGTTGGGGGCCCAACATCTTTTGGTGACCCCAGACCCCAGAGATATCAAATTCGCTGCGACCAGGGCCAGGGCCTTTTTGGTGGCGGCTCCTACCTGGTGGAATGAGTTCCCGGAGGAGATCCGGGCCCTGTGGGACCTTGCGCAGTTCCGCATGGCGTGCAAGATGGAGCTCTTCCGCCAGGCTTTTGAGTAGGAGCCGCTGCTGCCACTGTACCACCATCGCACCGCCACCATAAATGGTGTGAGTACCACCGAGGTGCAAGACGGCCCTGGGACAAAGATTGGATGGCAGTGTTGTTACGGAACTTACGCTGTTGTTCTGGGCTTATTTTGCCAGAACCCATCTTGGAATTGAGGATTGAAGTGACACCTAGAAGACTGTAGCGACATCTAGAGCACCTGCACTTTATGTATTAGTGGATTGTTTTATTGTTTTTAGTGTTTTAATCATGGCTTCGTGCCCTGTTTTAATCTTGGCTTTGTGCCCTAATTGTTAGCCGCTCTGAGCCCGTTCTGGGGAGGGCGGGATATAAATCGAACAATAAATAAATAAATAAAATAAAAAGAAAATAAAAGTTTTCCGGTTAGCAACTGTCGAAGATTCAGCTGTGTCCTGCAGAGCTCTTTCTGCTCTTGCCTATACTGCACCCATGACTCCTTTCCTTGCTGCTTAACACCCTGAGTTCTTTGCTCAGTTATTCCAGATACTGCATTCAAAATGAACTGTGCAGATGTATGCATCACTGCATG